CCCTTCTCATTACTGATTCTCCACACAGTTACCTGGCTGAGTGTCACCTCTAAATCTAGTTGTGTCTACATCATAGGAGGAAGAAGGTAAAATAATCCATGCAAAGATTTTAACACAGTGTCTTCTCCATAAATAGTTGTCATTGTTACCTTTATTTATCCATATTTACCCATAAATATTAACTCTGTATAATACTGGATGTTTGGGGGTAAGAAAAAGGCAAGTTAAGGATGAGAGGTATTCAGGAAGAGGATTGTCAGAAGAATAAGAACAAATTAGACTTCTTTGGAATTTGCCTGCTTTGAAGTGGCAGCCTACATGATCTATAAAACAAATTGCTCTAGACTTCCACTACTCCAAGTAAGTTTGCTGGAAGAGTCATCCTTTTTTCTTTCTTTCTTATTTTAATTAACCATGTAGATAAACATGTATTAAAGGTAAAAGTTGAAGGACTCACTCTTTTTTTTTTAGAGACAAGATCTCACTACTATGTTGTCTAGACTGGTCTGGAACTCCTGAGCAAAGCAATTATCCTGCCTCAGTCTTCCAAAGTCCTGAGATTATAGGCTTGGCCCACTGTGTCCAGCCAAGGAAGAGTCATCTTTCTAAAATACTTATGTGGTCATAAGCATCCTGACCTGTTTACCTTTCGCCAGTAGGATAAAATCCAAATGGCTTAAAATGGCATCAAAGTTTTTCTGTTATTTGGCTTTTGTACTTCCCTTTGGAATCATTCTTCTCTGCACCCAATATTTTCTACAGTGTCCCAGGAGTAATAAAATACAGTTGCAATTCCTGAAATGATCCATGATTTTCTCATGTTGCTTCACTTGCCTGAAATGATCTTGTTGCCACTCTGTCGTGGGAATTTTACATACTCATCTGTTACAGCCCAGCTCCTACAGAAAACCATCCCTACACACCTGAGGCAGAAACAACCACTCCTTTCCTGAGTGCCCCTTCCAGCTGTCGTTTCCCTATGTTAGTCATGGCTTCCTGCCCACATTCAATTGGTTACATGTCTTTCTCAGTAACGTGACTATCTTGAAAGTGGGAACTACCTTTTGTAAATTTTATTGGCTTACTTTTAAATTTTTTTGTAAAGACAGGGGTCTCACTATGTTGCCCAAGCTGGTCTCAAATGGTCTCAAGCAATCTTCCATCTCGACCTCCCAAAGTGCTGGAATTACTGGCACAAGCCACTGTATCTTGCTGAAAGTTCAATTTTTAAAAATATATATTTGCACTAGCAACTAAAACAGTGAGATACTTAGGAATATATTAAACAAAACTATTCATAAACGTGTATAGAGAAAGTTGTAAGGCATTAAAGAAGAGCCACATAATTGTTTAGAGATGAGATAATTAACGTCATAAAGGTATCTAATCAAATTGAATTAATCTACGCATGTAATGCATTCCTAATGGAAATCTCAGCAGGGCTTTTTTTAGAGCTTGATGCACTGATATAAAACATACATGGAAGAGCAAACAGCCAAAAAAAAAAAAGAAGTTAAAAGAAAAAAATTAAGAACCAGTTGTTCACAATAGCAAGAACATGGAACCAATCGTGCTGCCCATCAAAAGAAGACTGGATTTTTAAAAACGTGGTACATATACACAATGGGATATTATGCAGCCATAAAGAAGAACAAAATCATGAACTTCGCAGCAACCTGAATGAACTTAGAGTCTATAATACTGAGTGATCTATCACAGAAACAAAGAACTGAGTATCACATGTTCTCACTCATAAGTGGACCTTGAACAACTATTGTAATACTATAAGAAAAGAATTGACAGTAGTGGGAAACTGCCCATGGGGTGGGGCAGAGGGGTGGGATTGGCAGTAGTAGGAATCTGCCTGAGGTGGGCATACCTCATCAGCAAGGGTACCTACACAATGAATATTTGTATATTTAACACTTAACCCTGAATGGTACCCCACAATTTAAAATTAAAAATAAAAGAAAATTAAGAACCAAAAAAAGGGGAGAATTAATCTGCTATGCTATGGTCTGAACCTTGTGTTTCCCCAAATGCATATGTGAAAACCCTCATCTCCAAGGTAGTAGTATCAAGAGGTGGGGCCTTTGGGAGGCAATTAGGTCATGGTGGTAGAGCTCTCATGAATGGGATCAGAGCCCTCTAAAAGAAGCCTGGGGGAGCTTATTAATCCTTCCACCACATGAGGATACAGCCAGAAGGCACCACTCTGTAAACCAAGAAATGAGCCCTGTTTTGTTATAGCAGCCCAACAGATGAAGACATAACCCCAAAAGAAAAAAACCAAAAACATTAGTTTAAAGCTCTAGTATTTGAGATGGCATGGTTGTCATTGTAGGGATAGACAAATGATTAATGAAATAGAATACAGATGCTTGATAAATAACATTTTTATAAAAGTAAAATGATGAATTATTTGATAAATAGTGTAGAAATATTTGTAATCCATATAAAACAAAATAATTCTGTTTTTCTATGTCATTTCACATATAAAATAAATATCCTAATATAAAAAGCAACTTTTATATTCTAGAAGTAAGGCTAGTAGCCTATATTCAGGAATTCAAACATAAAATGTAAAATTTCCACTAAAAAAAATGAATAACTTTGACTACATTAAAATTTTAAACTTTGGTACTAAAAGTGGCTTTATAGTGCTCACTTCCGTAGCACATATACTAAATGGAATGATACAGAGATTAGCATGGTCCCTGCACAAAAATGACGTGCAAATTAGTGAAGCATTGCATATTTTAAAATATATATAAATAAATAATAAAAATAAAAGTTAATAAAATGTGGGAAGTCTAACTATTGCGAATATTTGGAAAATATTAAGACAATCTACAAATCAAAAAGATAAAGAAAAGGAATCTAATTAAAACAAACACAACAACAAAAGGGCTATGAACAGGCAAACCACAAAAGGAAGAACTCAAATAGCTAATAAGCAGATGAAAAGGCACGCAATCTCTCTAGTAATTAGAGAAATAAAAAATAAAACCACAATAAAATGGTATTTTACCAATCAAAAGATTAGGAAACATTCTTAAAATGCCTGGTATTAGGAAAAAAGTAGAGAAACAAAAATTCTCAAACATTGCCGAAGGAAATATACATTTCCTTTGGAAAACAATTTTGTAGTATCTTGATCTAAGACCCAGCATTTTTTATAATGCTACGTACCATAAAAAATTAAGAGGGAAATTAGTCCAGGGCAGTGGCCGACAACTGTAATCCAGCATTTGGGAGGTCAAGGTATCCTACCGGGGGGATCATTTAATGTTGCCTCCATGTAGGGAAGCTAATCAGCTAAATACTTTCAAGCCATGGGATAGCAATGATTATGGTGGCAGATGTGAAGTATGCTCGGGTATCCACATCTATTCCTACTGTGAATATATGATGGGCTCAGACAATAAAGCCTAGAAATCCAATGGATATTATGGCTCAAACTATTCCTATATAGCCAAATGGTTCTTTTTTTCCAGAATAGTAGGTTACAATATGGGAAATTATACCAAACCCGGGTAGAATAAGAATATAGACCTCAGGGTGGCCGAAAAATCAGAATAAGTGTTGATAGAGAATGGGATCTCCTCCTCCAGCGGGGTCAAAAAAGGTTGTGTTAAGGTTTCGGTCGGTTAAAAGTATGGTAATTCCTGCTGCTAGAACTGGGAGAGATAGTAGTAGTAGAACTGCAGTAATGAGGACAGATCATACAAATAGAGGGGTCTGGTATTGTGATATAGCGGGGGGTTTTATATTGATAATGGTTGTAATAAAATTAATAGCGCCCAGGATAGAAGATACTCCTGCTAGGTGAAGAGAAAAAATAGTAAGATCCACAGAGGCTCCCGCGTGGGCTAAGTTTCCTGCTAGAGGGGGATATACGGTTCAACCTGTTCCTGCGCCAGCTTCAACTATTGAGGAGGCTAGTAGCAGAAGGAAAGATGGTGGTAATAGCCAGAAGCTTATATTGTTTATTCGTGGGAATGCTATATCGGGGGCCCCAATTATAAGGGGTACTAGTCAATTGCCGAAGCCCCCGATTATAATGGGTATAACTATAAAGAAAATTATTACGAAAGCATGAGCAGTAACGATGACATTATAGATTTGGTCATCTCCCAATAGAGTCCCCGGCTGTCCGAGTTCTGCTCGGATGAGAAGGCTGAGGGCAGTTCCTACTATTCCGGCTCAAGCACCAAATAATAAATATAGAGTTCCGATGTCTTTATGGTTGGTTGAAAATAATCAACGGTTAATGAACATAGGTAGGGTAAAATGGCTGATAAAGCATTAGGCTGTAAATCTAAAGATAGGGGTGGAGCCCCCTTTTTACCAAGTCCTGAGGTGAATATCATATTGAATTGCAAATTCAAAGAAGCAGCTTCAATTCTGCTGGGACTTCTCCCGCCTTTTTTTTCTTGGCGGCGGGAGAAGTAGATTGAAGCCAGTTGTATAGGGTGTTTAGCTGTTAACTAAGTTTTCGTGGGGTTGGAGCCCACCAATCTAGTGGGAAGGATTTAGCTTAAAATAAAAGTGACTGATTTGCATTTAGTTGATGTGGAGTAAGCCTCTGCAGTCCTTAGTTGGGGAAAAGAGGATACAGGAATTAAGCATGTATTAGCTTACTTGGGGCTTTGAAGGCTCTTGGTCTAGTTAACCTAAATTCCTACTCCAATTGTAGGAGTATAGGGGATATGGGTAAAAGTAAGGTGGATAAGGTTGTTAGGGTGGGTACAACAAGTATTAGTTTTGTGCTTTCGAATTGTCATTTTATTTTTGTATTATTGTTAACTGGGAATATGGTAAGGGTTGTTGAGTAGGTTAGTCGTATGTAGAAATATAGATTAAGTAAGGGTGTAATGGCTATTAATATTGGGATAAGGGTGTTATTGTTTTTTATGAGCTCTTGAATGATTGCTCATTTAGGGAGGAAAACTGTGAGTGGAGGTAATCCTCCTAGGGATAGCAGAATTAGGGGTATCATGGATGATGCTAATGGAATTTTATTTCATGAGTTGGACATTGTGAGGATGGTAGTGCTTGAAAATAGGATTAATATGGAAAACAGTGTAATTGTTAGGGTAATGTAGATGAGGAGATTAAGGATTATTATAGTAGAATTATATTTTAGAATTGCGATTATTCATCCTATGTGGGCAATGGAAGAGTAAACTAGGATTTTTCGAAGTTGTGTTTGGTTTAGTCCTCCTCAGCCGCCTAATGCGATAGAGGTTAGGGCAATTACAATTATTAGTGTTAGGTTTAGGGTTATATCTCCCTTACCATACTAAAATCTATTGGATAGCGGGGTCCATCTCTGGACTTTAGCCTCTTTATGGTAGATGCATGGAAAATATTTGGAGATTGTGGAATGAATATATGCTTGCACTATAACATGAACCAAGACAGCTCAGATGTTATTAATTAAGTGCTCTGTATTATTCCATAAAAGGATGCTCCTCATTTATGCTGTCTGTCCAAGGCTTACTGTATAAAACCCTGTTTGTATTTTGAAATGTACTTTCTTATGATGGGGAACTGAGAGAATGTTGTATGTGAAGGTGGCCCTTCTGTCTCTAGGCCTCTGGGGACTACATTGGCATGGCAGTCGTAGACGGCCAGCTCACGTGTGTCTACAACCTGGGGGAGCGCGAGGCTGAGCTCCAAGTGGACCAGGTTTTGACAGAGAGCGAATCTCAGGAGGCGGTTATGGACCGAGTCAAATTTCAGAGGTACGAGTCTGATGATATATTTTTCTTTGTGAGCCTGACCTACACCCTCCAAACTCCCATTTCCAATGTTGCTGAACGTAATTTTTAGCATCTTGGCTTTGAATTCTTTAATTTTTTTCTTATAATTTTATTCCCTAATTTAATTTTAAACAGAATTTATCAGTTTGCAAGGCTTAATTACACCAAAGGAGCCACATCCAGTAAACCAGTAACACCCCGATTCCATGACATGGACAGTGGAACAAGCAACACACTTCTTGATTTGGATCCTGAAAATGTTGTATTTTATGTTGGAGGTTACCCACCTAATTTTAAAGTAAGTATAAATGTTATTTCACTGAGTAAAATTATTTATATTTTAATTTGATATCATGACCTCATGTCTCTATTTTAGTTATGAATTCTATATAAAATGGATTCAACTGTACATTCTTAAAGCACATCGTAGTGATAATAGCTAACATTTATTGAGTACTTCCTCTGTGCACTGTTCTAAGTTAAAGTATATTAATTGAACTAAGTATCATAATCATTCCCATTTTACAGATGAGGAAACTGAGACAGAGAAGTTTAATAACTTGCCTGTATTCATACAGCTAGTAAATAGCAAAGCCAGGGTTTTAGGCTCCAGGGCCCACATTCTTAACCCTTATGCTGCAGTTACTGTTAAAAGTGACAGGTTTATACTATTTTTTTGCAACCTAATTAATGTCTTTTTTGCTTTATTTTTGTTTCATTTTCAGCTTCCCAGTAGACTAAAATTCTCTCCTTACAAAGGTTGTATCGAATTAGATGACCTCAATGAAAATGTTTTGAGTTTGTACAACTTCAAAAAAACTTTTAATCTCAACACAACTGAAGTGGAACCTTGTAGAAGGTAAATAAAACTTAGACACTAGTGTCTGGAACTGGACCTGGAGTTTTGGTAACTTGCAGTACTTTTGCATATAATAAAGGAAGGACCAATGAGATGCTTTTGATGTTGTTGGTTGCTTTGAGCCAGTAGTTATTAAATTGCATGAAATACTGACAGTCCTTCCCTAAAAATCTAATAATGTCAGTCTTCTCCTAATTTGTATAAAATATTAGATTGATAGAATTGTATGAATTTTTTTAAAAACTAAATCTTCCTTAAATGTTTGGTGTCTCCTACCACAGTATATTCAATATTAGATGGTACCTGACTTAAGCACAAAATTATATATTTACTGTAAATTTTTTTTAAATAGTGGTCCATGAAAGATACTATGACTTTACAGGGACTCTGTCACCTAAACCTTTTTGAAAATTGCTTCTTAAGCGCCTAACCTGCCCTACAATTAAAAAGATTTGGAATATTCTAATATGAGGCAGACCAAGTACTTTCCACTCAGAAGAATATATATATATAAATTTATTTTATTTTATTTTTTTTGCGTTGGAGTCTCACTCAGTCACCAAGACTGGAGTGCAGTGGCCGCTCCCGGCCAGCGCATCCTCGACCTGCTGGGCTCCGGCGATCCTTCTGCCTCAGCCTTCCGAGTAGCCGGAATTACAGGCACACACTACCATGCCCAGCTGATTTTTTGATTTATTGTAGAGATGAGGTCTCGCTTGCCCAGGCGGGTCTCAAACCCGTGGGATCAGGCAGAAAATATATTTGAAGTTAATAATTTCTTATATTTTAAGATTCAGCTGGTAGGCTACATCTTCCTAATGAGACATTTCTAGAAGGGACTCTTGAATATTATCTTTGTCAAGCTAGGGCTTGATTGTCATAGAGTATGAGAGCGCGTCCAGGAAAAGAAGCTGGCAGTTTTAACCTTTTAAAGATGTTTCCTCTGCTTTAACAGAATTTTGACAACTAGATTTCATATTCTTTGCTTCGTTTTCCAGATAGTAGCATCTCATACTAATAAGCATACTTACTTGATGATCCTTTGCTGCTACGTTCTAACTTATGATAATTGATGTTGACAGGAGGAAGGAAGAGTCAGACAAAAATTATTTTGAAGGTACAGGCTATGCTCGAGTTCCAACTCAACCAAATGCTCCCTTCCCCACCTTTGGGCAGACAATTCAGACCACCGTGGATAAAGGTTTGCTGTTCTTTGCAGAAAACCAGGTAATCTGTAACAAGTATTCAAATGCTACCAAATATGTCCATTCTGTTTAGCAATTTGGGGATACCTGAGTTGTTATAAACAACTGTCTAGATATGAAAAACAAAGCACAAATGTTACCTGCACCTTTTGCTGACCCTACTGTTTTTTTCTTTCTTTTGGCTGGGGAATGTGTATTAATGAGTGTGAGTAATCAGGAATTTGAGAATATGCCTCCAAAATATGAGAGAAATATCCTTTTTTTCTGTTCTATTCTCATGATAACTTTTTTCTTTGAAAACAATGGCATGCCTAATAATCTACTTATTCTGCTTCAAAACACATGAAGAACTTCTGGGATCTCTGAAGTCTAGACTATTTGACTTCCTGCTGTTTCCATCTTAGCCTGACTCTTGCCAACTGTGTGGGATGGCATCTTTATCAGCCTGAGGTTTGACTTCCCGAGACACTGAAACTTCTCTACTTCCAAGCAGTTGAGGTTCCTAGGGACCTTTCGTAAATCCATTAGGCGAGACAGGTCCAAAGTGACACTCTACAGGTGATTGTCTGCGCCGTCTGCTGGTCCATGGAGAGTTGGCGTGATGTTTGCTCCTTGATAGCTGCAATGGGCTTTGAGTTGAACATGCTAGAGAATAGGAGTTTCTGTAGCTGCTCTCGCAGGTAGTACTTCTGGAGAAATGTGAATCGGCCCATAGACTCTCTGGTCTTAGAATATGGGATTGATATGGAGCTTTGAATTTTACCAGATCCTTCTCTACCAGATCCTGGACACAGACCTAGTCCAACTCTCCTCTTGGGGTTGGTCTGGATCCTTCAGAAAATCTGGACTCTTCAGAAGATTCCAAGGCTGAACCAGTTCTGATGGTTTGGGAAGGTCCTGACTAGCCTAAGGGATAGGGAAAGCTGAGAAGTCATACAGCACCTTGGACAAGGCAGTTGTTTTCCAAAATAAGGTCTTCTTTGAACTATATTTTGAGGTTCTTAGAGACTAAGAACCAGAAATACTACTCACGTTATAAGGAAACTTACATAATCTCATTATATAAGAAATGATCCAGAGAGCTGCTGCTAAGTAGGACAACTCCTTTCACTCAGTAAGTCAGTGTTACTCTCCTGTTTATGAGTTGATGAACCCAACCCAACTTCCCAAGGCAAGGCTTAGCATCCAGATAATAATTGAGTTTTCTTTTAGAAAAGACCTCTGGTTCTGGACTTCAGAGAGAGGCATTCTTATCACTAGGAAACCATGTAACAGCAAAGTCTTCAAGCCCTAAGTCAGAAATGTCTCAGCTTATCTTTCCACTAAGGAAATAGTTGATTCAAGTATATGTCTTACACCATGATGGGGATGCGATAATGACCAAGACAGACATGGCTCTGCCCTTAAGGACCTTGTATTCTAGAGAAGAAGGCAGGTGTTCAACAAAGGTATGCTGTTAATAGGTTATTCAGTTCATCATGATTGTGAAGGGCAGTATAAGGGAAAAGTTTGGGGTGAAATGAGGATGTATAGTATAAAAGACTTTGTTGAGCATAGGATGCTTCATCTGCTACCTGGAGGACCAGTGGAAGACGGAATGGGGGAGCAGAAGGGGGATTCAGGCGGGGGGGGGGGCCAAGGAAGGCCTAGAGGTGGGAAGGGCAGGGAGCACTCAGAGGGAGTGGGAGACACAAAGCTGAAGAGGTAGTCAGGGCCTCACAGCATCTGCTGCAGGATCAGGGCTTGATCCCGAGAGCCAAGGAAAGTAACATGCTCACACAGGTATTTTCAAAGACAGCTCTGGCTGCAGAGGTGAAATAGACTTGAGAGAGACAGAGGAAACATGGGGAGAGCAGCAGGTTGTTGCTGCACAGTCTGGCTAAAGACATTGTGGCTGAGACCGGGTGGGATAAAATGGAGAGAGGGTTAAGAACTGGCAAAATACACATGATTTGATTTCATGAGAGTGAGGGAAGGATCAAGAATGATGCCCAGGTTTTGTGGCTTGCTCAACAAGGCGGTGTGTGTGTGTGTGTGTGTGTGTGTGTGTGTTTAAGAGAAAGAGGGAGAGGGAGACAGAGACAGAGTACACGTACAATGTGAAGGAAGGAGAGACAGTCTTCACAGCCTGTGGGAGGCATGTGGGTCATAAATTTTGCTTGAGATTTTCTGGATTTGAGGTATCTGTGCAAGCAAAAACAATAGCAACAAGGGAATCAGATGTACAGGCCTGGCCCTGAGAAGACAAGTCTAGGGTGGAAAGATGCATTTTGGTCTCATGGGTACACCTGGACTGGAGCCACAGAAGTGAATTTGATTGTCAAGGCAAAGGGGATGGTGTGGGGAAGGGAGTCCTGTGTGAGATCCCCAAGGAACCCCTAACACTGACATGGAAGATGGAGGAGCATAACCAACGAAGGAGACTAAGACATGGGAATTAGGAAGTAGATGGTGGAAGATACCTGGGATCTAAGGAAAACCGTTTCTTTTTCCAGAATTTAGCACTCATATTTTCAAATGATCTTAATGAACTGAATCTTTTCAGTTTCCATGTTTGCACACTGGTTATGTATGGTATGAAAGAAGGTCATGATAATAGCTAGTATTTATTGCAGTTGTCCTGTGTGCCAACCTCTGTACATGGTGCTTTGACATGACTTACTGTGTTTAGCCATTATATGCAACCCTGTGACTTAGCAATTACAGCACTATGTCCCCTTTTAACTAAGGTACCAGCCAAAGCCAAGAGCAGCTCGCTCAACATGAGAGTAACTTGCATTCCAGCGCCCTGGCTCTTCTTCAGCTGAGTCTTCTGGTAATCTGCATTGTTTCTATATTCCAGGATCGCTTCATATCTCTAAATATAGAAGACGGCAGACTCATGGTGAGATACAAACTGAATTCAGAGCCACCAAAAGAAACAGGAATTGGAGACACCATTAACAATGGGAGAGATCATTTGGTACATTTTTAAGTCTGTTTACTTGAATTGTTAAATGTCCTTAGTCCTTTAAAATGAAGTCAGTGCCCCAAAAATAAAACCCTCTTTGTTACCAGATGGACTTACGGCTATTAACTGAGGGATACATTTTTTAAAATTTCCACATTTAGGCATGAGATATATAACATATATATGGCGCATATAAAAAATGGTTAACTTCACATGCAAATATTTCTATTAAGATTTTTTTAGCATCATATTTTTATCCAAAAGAGTTTCTTCCCAGAGTCTTCCTACTATGTTTACACATGAGAAGGAAGAGAAATAAAAACAATAATCCTGAACCCCTATGAATAGGATTATTTTATTTCCCATTGCTTGCTGATTCATCTTTCATTTATTTCAGATCCAGATCATAATTGGAAAATCCCAGAAAGTTATGAGGATAAATGTAAATTTTCAAAACATCAAAATTGAAGGTGAAATATTTGATTTCAGCACATATTATCTGGGAGGAATTCCAATTGCAATCAGGGAAAGGTAAGATGATTTTTTTTAAAAACAGAGTGACTGTCTTAGTGGTTATGATTGCTACCAATACATCTAGTCTACCTTTTTTCTTCCAGCAACAAACAAACACAAAAATTAACTTTTCGGTATTAACACTATAGTCAACAGTAAAACAGATTGTAAATCCTGAACAATGAGATTGGGTATTGGAAAGCAGGAAGTTGGAGGAACTGTGTGTCACCCCCATTGTCATTTTTGGAAGGAGAGAGAACCAAAGAGTACAGTTGGGTTGACAATGCTGACACCAAGCAGAAAGGAGCTTATGGTCCTGGGCCCTAAAAGACAGTGTAAGAGAGTGTGGTGGGTGTCCCATGGCCTGACCGCTATCTTAGGGCACTGAAAGCTAGAGTTGTTGCCTTCAGGAAGTCTCTGGAAGAATATAAGACACTATGTTTCCTTCACATGTATTGACTGCCCCAAATACACTATTGAGCATGTGAATGAGTTAAATTAATGTGAAAGGCAGTAAAGACTAATCTAAATTTTTTAAAAACTACCACTTTGAGGATGCATTTAAAAATAACTTTTACATTTTGTTAATTTGTATCCTCCTACTAGGCTTTTAGATAGCTGACAATATGTGAAAAGAAGATATCTTGGGAGGGTTAGTACAGCCTCATGTATAAGCTGAAAGTACTACCAGAATGTTGGATTGTGATTACGTTTATATGAGATCTGAAGCTAGTTAACTCTTTTTTTAAATTTGCATATCTGTTGGAAGGAATATTAGATGTGATTGATAAGGTGTCATGCAAAGGTATTCGTTCTTCTAGAGTCTTACATGTGTGGGCATCTGTCCATCCCGAGTAAGGAGGCACTGATCTTTATTTTAAAGTTATCAGGGCTGCCCCCAGAACAGAAATGCAGGTAGGAAACTCAGTAATTTATAATAAAGCTTGGCTTGGTGCGGTGACTCAAACTTGTAATCCCAGCCAAGGCAAGAGGATTGCCTGAGGTCAGGGATTTAAGGGCAGCTTGGGCAACTTGACAAGACCTCGTCTCTGCTATAAATCAAGAAATTTAGCTGGGCATAGTAGTGCATGCCTGTAGTTCCAGCTACTTGGAAAGCCGAGGCAGAAGGATCACCTGAGTCCAGCAGGTCGAGGCTACGGTGGCTGTGAGTGTGCCACTGCACTCCAGCCTGGGTGACAGAGTGAGACTCCAACTCAAAAATAAAAACAAAAATAAGATTAAAAATATATAATAAAGCTTGGTCAAGATTACTGGCAATTCATAACTGGCTATTCGTGGTTAAATCACTACAGTAGAGTGTGATGTTTGCCTTAGAAGGGAAGCTTGGTGTTGATGGCCAAGGAAACCTAATCTGGTTAAGGGCATCAGGAAAGTAGCCTCTAGCTAGAACCTGAGAGATGCTACCAGTCAGCGCATGTGAAACACCAAGAGTGAGGAAAAGCATACACTTGTAAAGAGCTCAAGTACACTGTGAAACAGGACAAGGATGCCCCATAGGGCTGGTGTGGGCAGTAGAGATCAGACCATGGAGGATCTTGAAAGTCATGGTAAGGAGTCATCAAAAGGACTTCAGCAGAGAAAGACCATGATCCAACATGGGTTTTCAGTAACTCACTATAGTGCAAGATGGAGATTGGATTAGGGGAGAGGAAGGGCAGAGACAGAGTGGCTGGGAGCTGAATGTATAAACAAAGGTGAGCCAGGGGGTAGTTTGATCCAGGGAAATGGCAGTGCAGGTGAGGAAAAGGTATTCCAAATATATTTAGAATGGGCAGCACTGAATGAGTGCTTGGGTGTGGGAAGTAATAGGGAAGAGTGGTCAAGAATGATGCCTGGGTTTTGGTAGAGCACTTGGGCAGATGGAGTGTACCAATGGAGAAGGGTAAGGAGTTCAGTCAGACAGGCTGAGCTCCAGGAGCCCAGGACACAGCCTGGTAGAGATGCCCAGAAGTCCAGGCTGGAGAAGGGTGAATGAAGCTTGGGTCTGGGTGGTCACTGGGGTTGTAGAAACAGGTGAACTTACTCAGAGTCATGCAGAATTCTTGAGTTAAGACAACGAGGAACCCTTTGGTTGATGGTTTATGTTTACACAGTGCTAGCAGCAGGCCTGCAGATGGCAATGTGGGTTCCTGTCAGTCTAGATTTTCTAGAAAAGGGTAGTGGGTAGAACCACAAAAGAAGTGGTTCTAGCTTGGGCTCTGCCACCAAAGAGTGGTTTGACCCTGAGTTCAGTCAGCATCCAACCTTTCTTCTGCTTTTTATCTCCCTCCATTGAAGAAATAAATACATCTATAGATATAGAGGTGTGCATACACATAGAATTTTCTTAGTAATCTCTTTTAGGATCCGCCAAAGAAGAGTCTGTTTCCTTTTACTGCACAAGTTTATATTTTGGCTCTTCATTACAATCATAAGAACATTTTAAGAATGCAGGAGATAGAGGCCAGTCAAAAACTTTCATTGACCTTTGACTCTCCTAAAAAGTAAAGCATTAAGCAATATTCAGCTCTTTCTCACCTTGCCTTATCTCTCTGGTGAAGTCTTTGGAGGTCCAGAGAGTCAGTTGTGAAGCTGCCCTTGGATGTGGGCCACCGCAGGATGGAGTGAGTAGAAAGGAGTTCATCCATAACCCATCACTAGACTCTGTAAGGACAACCAGGCAACTTACTAAAGGACGGAGGTGTTCTGACCCCTGGTATCAATGGGATGCCCGTATAGACAGTCAAGTGCTCAGATCTAACGTGGAGCAAAGCAAGCTGGTGTCATTGCTGAATAAAGCAGCTTTGCTTAAGAGATGTTGTGGGTGTTTTGTTGTTTCCTCTGTCACTGTGGAGTTTCTTTCAGCAATGGGGACCCAAATCTTGGAATGATTTGTTTCAGATTATAATCAGAAATCCTAGTTGCTAGCCCCAGCTGCTTCTCTACCTGATAATGTCAGAGGGTCTGACCTCAACAAGGACATTTTTCCTGAGCACCTTCCCATTGTGTTACAGGGTATAATAATGAAACATTAAAATGCAAATAATCTCAAAAGCAAAAATTCGTCAAGGACCCATTGAACATTTACCAAGTACCCCACACTGAGTTTAGTACCTGACCCCAAAGTTGGCTCCAGCAATTATGGAGCTGGCTAAGCTCTTATGGACAGATTGGCCCAGACTGTGAATCACACCCCAGTGTAGGAACCTATGAATACAGCAATGTACACCCCTACATGATCACATTCCTCTACCAAGTATGTTCAGGTCCCGCATCCTGGAGTAAACATAGAACTCCAGGTCCTCAGATGAGTCAAAGAAACAAGATCCTACTCAAGGAATAATGGAGATAAATCTTCCATCATAACACCTCTGCTGTAGATATCTGTTCTCAAGGAAGAAGTCACAGTCACTTCCAATTGTGGAGGGAATATAAACTATAAGTGTAGAGAGAAGGGCCTCCGAGTCATACTAACCTGTGTACAACACACTGACAATACAGACCCAGCTCTGTCACTTAGCAGCTGCATGACCTTGGTCAGGTACCTTAACCTCCCAAAGCCTCATTGCTATATCTGTAATATGGGCACAGAAACTGCCTCTCTCTCAGGGGATTGGGAGGGTTCGAAGTGTGTAAAGGAAGTAACCCTGGACTTGGCACGTGGTAAGTGCTCAGAAAATGTTAGATAAGAAAATTTCTCCCGTAAAAAGTTGTAGTTAGGATGGAGTAATAGCACCTTGTGCAAAATTGGTACTTTGTATCTGTCGCCTCCCTTTCTCTCCCCTCTTCACTTTCTGCCACCTTCTTCTTTCTTTGACCAGTCATCTTTGGAGAAAGGGACATCTAGGGATGTTGATGTCCAAAGGATATGTTGAAACCCAAGAGAGAATGGACTTCAAACTATGTATCAGTAGGCAAGCTCCAGGAACTAAAATGAACTTTCCTCGTCTTCTGAGGCAAAAAGCTATCTTTGTAAAATAATTAGGCTTGTGCTGTAATGCCAGGGAGGATTTGTGTCTTCCTTTTCCTTTTAAAGAAATTTAATTTTATGCATATTACATGTTGCTCAACTGCTTATAATGAATTGGATTAAAACAAATGCAGACACCTTTCATTTACAAAAGTGAGCTGCCTTAGGGATTTATAATGAAATCAGCATTGGGTTTTCTTAGTACATCATTTTTCCAAGAAACACAAATATTTTCCTGGACTTCAGTCAGTTTATATGTGTTCATGTCTTATGTGGATTCAGCTCCAAACAGATTCAGAAGTCAAATAAAAGGGGAAATGCCAGCTGGGCACAGTGGTTCATGCCTGTAATCCTAGCACTTTAGGAGGCCGAGACAGGATGATCACTTAAGGCCTGAAGTTCAAGACCAGCCTGGGCAACAAAGTGAGACCCAACCCCTACCAAAAATTAGAAAAATAAGCCAGGCGTGGTGGCACATGCCTGCAGTCATAGTTACTCAGGAGGCAGACACAGGAGGACCACTTGAGCCCAGGAGTTTGAGTTTGCAGTGAGCTGTGACCGTGCCACTGCATTGCAGGCTGAGTGACAAGGTGAAACTGTATCTCAAAAATTAGTTAGTTAATTAATTAAAAATCCTTATTTTAAAAAGGGGGAGGGTAATGCCGCAGTGCCAAGTAGAAGATTTTAGAAATCACTCTCATGATATTATAACAGGGAGCATTACTGTCACTGTGATTTCACTCTGAGTCCTGTACCAAGCATTGTTTGCATGTGTTACACATGTTAACTTGCTTAAACTCATGACAACCCTAGGAAACAGATTAACATGTTCCCACGGTATAAATGAGGAAACAGGCACAGAGAAGTTGAATTGTCTGCTCAAGAAGCAGGGATAGAACTTGAACGCCAGCAGGGTGGGTTCAAGTTCTATTTGGCCTCTCAGAAACATTTGGATGTTCACACCCACACACCATGCACCGTTCCAAGCTCTAGCTGTTCCTCAACCTGTTTAATCCTCATAATGACCCCTTGGCCAGGTTGCACAGTTAGGAGGTTGGTGGATACAGTGTATGAACCCAGGCAAGGCTTCCCATTGTTTCAGCTTGGCATTGGTTTAGTCAAGCCACAATTTTCATAACTGAATCGAATGCAAAAGTAACAATTTGTTTCTTTTGAACTTACCATGGCTAATTTAACAGTGAACAGAAAAAAAGAGCAGAAAGTTTTCTAAAGCATTTGTGGTTCTTATAAGTCATTGATTTATTAATACACTTATACCAGTTTCATAGGGTATTAACTTATTAATATATTTCCTATCCACTGTGCAATGCCATGATTCTAGGGTTTGGGGGTTGGGCATTTCTAGATATTATGTCTTCAGTATCTCTGTACCTGTTGAGGACACTGGCCATTCTTCTGTCAACATTATTTTCTGCATTTTTAAAGATGGGAATGCAGAAGCGCACAGAAAAGATTTTCCCAGCATCATAAAATAACATTATAGGAATTTTATAGCCATAAAATACATGCTGTTTGGGGGTGAGAAGTACTAAGAGTGCAGAGCATTTCAGGTGAGCCTGGCATGATCCATCTATTCCTTCTTTGTATTCCTGATCAGGTTTAACATTTCTACACCTGCTTTCCGAGGCTGCATGAAAAATTTGAAGAAAACCAGTGGCGTCGTGAGGTTGAATGATACTGTGGGCGTAACCAAAAAGTGCTCAGAGGACTGGAAGGTCAGTTCAGGGTTTGAAACCGTGGAAGGAGTGCTTCCTCGGGATTGGTTAATACATCAACTGTGTACTTTTTTTCTGGTAGCGCAGGCAGTTATAGTGAACTGGCTCACATATATTCCCAGCATACTCTTCAGGTTTGCACATTAAATATGTAGGAAAGTAGGAATACCGACTATATACACAAACACAGATGATGGGTAACTGATTTTGCAGAAAAGCAAACTCTATTTCTTTCTGAGGCTACATGAATGCCATTCATCAGTTTGGGTAAAGTGAAACAGGGCTAGATGCTGTATTTCTGCCATGAGATTATTACAATGCCAGTCACTTATCCCATGTTTGCTTTTCAGCTTGTGCGATCTGCTTCATTCTCCAGAGGAGGACAGCTGAGTTTCACTAATCTGAACTTTCCCTTGCCCGACCACTTCCAGGTCTCATTTGGGTTTCAGACCTTTCAACCCAGTGGCATATTATTGAATCATCAGACACGGGTATGAAATACTGAGCGATATTTAAACTTGACTCAAAGTTGGATGTTAAAAATAATAGAGAGATTTTGAAAGTAGAGTAATTGGGCATCTTATCTGTTATCTTGTGGGAAACGCTACGGTATAGATCAACCAGGAAAGTGATTCCCCACCCTGGGTTAGGTCCTAAAAGAAAGCAGACTTAGAAAGTGCATTACAATTTACAAAATTGAATTTGAGTGTATTCCTGGACTCATTTGCATCCCCTTCAGGTATGTAAGAGGTTAGGTCAATTATAACTGTTATAAGTAATAATGTAACTTAAAACTTTAGCTTAAAAAGTCAGAACATATCCCTATTTTTCCTTTTTGATTACACAAAAGATAGCTCTTTAGATTTCTTTTTTTCTGTAGCAGCTAGTTAGACAATATTTACATCTGGGGAATGGGAAAGAATAAGGTCCTTTGCTCTTTCCTCAAGTACAACAGAGCCATAGAAATTCTCTTTGACAAGGAGGTACCCTCTACAACTTGAGAGGATTTAGCTAGTGTGGTCACGTAGGTGAAAAAAGTCAACTAATATTTTTCTTGAGCCATCCTGGCTCACTGCTTCCTTGACCTCCTGACCTCAAGTGATCCTCCCATCTCAGTCTCCCAAGTAGCTGGAACCACAGATGCATGCCACCATGCCCAGTTAATTTTATTTTTATTTATTTATTATTTTAGAGATGAGGTCTCACCATGTTGCCCAGACTGGTCTCAAACTCCTAGGTTCAAGTGATCCTCCCACCTCAGCCTCCCAAAGTGCTGGGATTACAGGTGTGAACCACAGTGCCTGGCCTCAACTAATATTTAGTTGTTGTGGAATGAGTGGAATTTTTAAATAGAAGTAGAGTACTGCTGGTTTTGAATTTGTTTCTTTGGAATTGCAGAGCATATTAGACATCTAGTATCTGTTAAAAGGATGTTGATAGCTGACTCTGTGGCTGTGAAGTATTAGGAAGGCATCTCTTTTCTTGGTAGTTTACTCACCAGTCTGTAGAGAGCCCCGACAAAGCACATGAAATCTTAGACTGTAGCGTTGGCTTTTCCATGAAAGCAGGATGTTTTGATTGAGCTCTTTTGACACCCAACACTTGTTTCCTCTGCCACATGTAGGAACACATAGAAAGCAATACATAAAATGTTCAAAAGCAGATGGAAAATTTGGGTTGGCAAAAAATTAGATCCATCCTGGACATTGGGAAAATCCTAGAACTATCCTAGAGATGTGGCCTTCAATTTCTTAATGGGTTAACTAAGAAATACATATGAAAAAGCATTCTTTTATTCAATTGATAGTGAATATTGCCCACTGAGAAAACGTCAACACAAAATAAAATTGACAATGGCTAACTACACACTATGAAAGTTGTTTTAGACAGAAAATTCACCAAAGAATAACATCTTGTTGAAACTACAGAAATTGTACTTGGTAGAAAAAACATGAACAAAATTGAAATGACAACTGCTGAAATTACGCATGTTTAAAATTAGTAATTGAAAGAAATAGTCAAATAATCTTGCCCAAATTTGGATCTGCAGAGTTTGACATGGAGAATTGGACTTCCTAGAAATATTGACCAGGAAATAAAAAATTCATAATGACCAAAGAGAAGAAATCATTGTAACATCTTTATATTTTTAAAAAATTGATGAATCAAGTATATGCTGTAAAATTTTATTGAGAAAAGAATTGATTCTGATAGAAATAACTTCATCAAAATAAAAGTAAAAATATAAAAATATAGAGATAGTTTAACGGTTTTGTATAATTGATCAAGAAACTAAATCGGCTTAATGAATGTACCTCCAGAAAAACATTATTTTGGAAAATGCACCAGTATTGAAAAAAATTGCATAAGAATTTTATATTTAAAACATGCCATTAAAATATTCAAGCAATAATCTTTAGATCAAAATGGCAAAGTCAAACATTTGGGTCAAAACATCCTGACTGTTTTTATATGGTTTGGATAATAAATTCAATAATGATACATTCATAATCCTTAATGCACATTAATTGTTGATGAGTACATTCTATGATTATTTCAGACAAGTAACTTGCAGGTCACTCTGGAAGATGGTCACATTGAATTGAGCACCAGGGATAGCAGCGGCCCAATTTTTAAATCTCCAAAGACATACATGGATGGTTTACTGCACTATGTATCTGTAATAAGCGACAATGCTGGGTGAGTGGCATGGTAATTCTGTCAGTACGTCTGTGAGAATTTTACTGTATTTAGTTTAATGGAATTTTCTGATGTATTTTTGCAAAATATTTGTCTTGGAAACTGAAAATATTTTACTAGTAAGTCTTAGCCGTTTTCTTTTTTCTATGTCAATTTCTTCATGAAAAAGATAAATCAACAGTTGGGTGGAGAAATAAAATTTTGACGTATTCAAAATGGAATATGGGGTACTCTACAGCAATGAGAAAGAAAGATCTAGAACTATATTAACGCCATGGATGAACCTTGCAAACATAATGTGGAGCAGAAGGGCCACACATTAAAGAGTTCATGCCCTTTGATTTCATTTATACAAAGTTCAAAAACAGAAAAAATGAGTATATTGTGTCAGATTTCAGGATTGAGGGAGGGAGGCGAGAGACTAAAAGGCCCATAAGATGGAGTTCCTCAGTGCTGGTCTATTTTGTTTCATTATCTGGGTGCTGGTAGTGTTAGCGTATTCATGTTGCAAAAATTCATTGGGCTGAACACTTACAGTCTATGCACCTTCTGTACATATATAACACTTGAATAAAAATGTTATGTGTAAAAAGAAATGCATGAAAAAAATTAATGCTCTTTAAAAATAAGATGAGCTTCACCAGTAATTTGAGATAACAGACATTGAGTCTAGGTCAAAGACAGGAAATTGACCACATACTGACAGCTTTTTTTTCAGTAATTCTCACCCTTGATTTGCTTTTTCCCTTCCAGACTTCGACTTCTCATTGATGACCAGCCCCTGAGAAATAACCAAAGGCTAAGAACCATTCCAAATGCCCAGCAATCTCTACGTCTGGGTGGGAGTAATTTTGAGGGTTGTATCAGCAATGTTTTTGTCCAGAGGTGAGTGATCTCTCTGTGGGTAACTGATAAGAATGGCCTGCCCATGTGATGGGCATCTCATTGGTCTGGTTAGCAAAGTCAGATTTACCAACATGTGTTGCATGAGTCTTTCATACCACAATCTTTTGAAATATTGTCTTTGGCAAGACACATTAAAAAGCAAGCCTGTAAAGAAATGCCTGGGCCCAGCCACCCCTGGAGGAGTGGCTTTGGCATATAACCTTGGAAAAGGGCTAATTAAAATCAACTTTCAGATTATGGCCCTAAAAAATATTCACATTGAAATTTGATTTTGTTTTAATCAAGATGGTGCATTTAGATTTAATCAGCTCTCCATGATTTTCAAGGCCAAGGAATGCATGGATGAGTGCAGTGCTAGTAAACCAAATTTCTACTATGTTGAACATGACTTTGAATAGAGAAAGTAGAGCTTGGTGTTTCCAAGCAAGTGTTTAAAAGTTTTTCTTGTGACATAAAATGATTGTTTTTGGATAAGAGGCAAAATCCTCTCCAAGGCAGAGGGAGAGCCTGATTCTGACCATGAAATTTAAGCTGGAACTTTCCAGCTACCACATTGGTGCCATCAGCCCTACTTACCCATCAGGGCACATCCTCCTTGGCCAAAGTGTGGCTCAGAGGTCTCACTCCTCTCCTGGCTGATGAAACATCTTTGAACATCTAGTTCAGTGACTGGAGCAGGACATGGATGTGATGGAGAAGACACAGAGGTGGTTAACACCAGCTTGCTGCCATGATCAAGCTCGGACAAGAATCATGAGATAAAACAAATTTGCCTGAGACCTTCCTACTCGAATGTAGTTAGATAAATCCTTTCATAAACTCACCTCTGAGGTTTCCTGATGTTTACCATCATTCTATATCATCCAGTGCCCATCTTTCCCTTCTGTGCATATTTTGTTTTTATCTTTCTGTATGACACCCATTCAAAAAAAACCTATAATATTCTGACCCTGCCATAATCCCCCCACAATCCAAGTCAATCAAAACTTCTCCAGCCCCTCTGCTGGCTTCTAGATGTGATATAAAGGTAGCAGATGAAAGTTTACCCAGGAACCATGATCATAAGAATCCGTATTTTTTTAATTAATTGATACATAATAGTTGTACATATTTGTGGTGGTACATGTGATATTTTGATACAAGCACAACATGTGTTTTGATCAAATCTAGATAACTAGACTACCCATCACCTCAAACATTTATCTTTCATTGTGTTGGGAATACTCCAAGTCTTCTCTTCTAGCTGTTTTGAAATACACAGTACATTATTGTTAACTATAGTCTTTCTGTTGTGCTACTGAGTGCTACAACTTATTTCTTCTACCTATTTTTGTTTCCATTAACCAACTCCTCTTCATCCCCCAAACGTGTAATTTTTGAAATGAGCTCTCTTTACCAATAGGTCTTTCTCGATGTGTCAGAGCATGGCAGAAACTTTCATCTCCACTCTCATTTCAGGTTATCACAGAGTCCTGAAGTCCTAGATTTGGCCAGTAGATCTACTAAGAGAGATGTGTCCCTGGGAGGCTGCAGTTTAAACAGACCCCCTTTTCTAATGTTGCTTAGAGGTTCTACAAGGTTTCACAAGGCCAAGACTTTCAATATCAATCAAGTAAGCATCAAAACCCTACCGTATGTTTGTAAGTTTTACTTCTCCCCAGGGGATTCTCCTGTGCCTGCTTTATGGGAGATATTGGGAAGGGTACAAGAGATCACTTGTTCCCATGGGGTCAGTGCCTCTATGAAGTGGAATTGATAGGTCATCAATAGTTGAATCACTCCAAAATGTCAAAGTGCTTTGCTTTTTAGCTTTATTTTATATCTTCATGAAAAATTAGCAATTTTTGCACTCAAAACAAAAAGAACCTTGACTTAGGTTTCTCCATTTCTTGTAGCCGATGTCTTGCTGTTTTGACACTTCTACTGTGTCTCCAGCAAGTTCAGTGATTTTTCTCTAGAATACAAGGGCCATGTCCCTTCTTCTGCCCACGGACATCCCCTCTGCTCCGATGCAACTTGTATGACAAGATAGACACATGCACTCAGGCCTTGTCAAAGCCAATGTGCCTTAACCTTGACCACACGTTGGTGACACTTGGGGAGCTTTAACATCCCAGAGCCCAAGCTGCATCCGACCAATTAAGTCAGATGCTCTTGGAGTTGGCCCACATGTTAGTAGTGCGTAAAGCTCCCCAGGTGATTCTAACGGGCAGCACTGGGAGATGGAAAGGAAATGAAACTCTTGTCTGAAGGAGCAGAAGCACTGTGATGAGTTGGACACGGGGTCAGGACTTACAGAACTCCTTGCTCTGGTTGAGGTCAATGAGGTGACCTGCCCAGGTCTGAGGTTACAATTATTGTAATAAATGGAAAACACTGAGCACCTCTGATCTACCAATGGGATTTCTTATTAAATCTTTAAATAACATTATAAGGCAAGTATTATTATTACAACTTGTAGAAAAGGATGCTGCGGTTTAGAAGGACAAGCAATGGGCCCAAGCTCCCACAGGTGGAAGGTAGAGTTGGAGTCCATGCCCTCTTAAGAGCTCTGTGTGCCTGTTCATCACATTTCCCACTTCACATAAACCCTGTGTTGCTTGCCTACCAATTTTTCCCTGCTGTACAATGATTTGGGGGAGTGTGGACAGATAATACATAGTAAGAAATGTTTTATGCTATTAAGAAGAAATATACTTCATAAATTCCAAAGCGTTGTCATTTTACTGTTATGAAAAGAACATCTTTAGAATTGCTTGGTCAGAAATGAAGTCATATATTCATTTTTTTTCTTTGTAAGACCAAAAATTACTGAGAGACTAAATTAGCACAGTGACGGTTGAACGTGAGAGAGGAAATGGATTCAAAAGCTTTTTAGAAGATAGAATACCAGGATTCAGACAAACACTGAATGTGGGAGACAGGGAAAAGCAGGCGTTAAAATAATTCTGAGGCATCCAATCTGGGTTATTGGCTGGATGGAGATACCGCTGAGATCTCTGTGGAGCTAGGAAAGGGTCAAATATTTGGAGGGAAAGAGAATAAACAGAGTTTGTGGCATATTGAGTAGCAGGGACCTGTCAGATGTCCAGGTGGGAGATTGTCAGGTGTCTCTGCATGGTCTCAGCAAACAGAGTGGGACTGGGGCTATTGATGTGGGAGTCATCAGTGAGTATATTATTTCATTTTCCTCCTGTTCTGTGCTAGCCCCCCAGATTAGATGGAATAAGACATTAGTTCTGCCTCCTGCAACCTGACAGCAGAGAGAATGCAATATAGCTCAGTGGTTAAGTACTGTACTTTGGGGTCAGACTTCCTGGGTATGAGGAAGGTTTTATCACTTAGTTGGTGTGTGACCCTGAATGATCATTTAACCTCTCCCTGGGCCTGTTTACTCCAGTGTACATGACAGTAAATAATGGTAATATCTCATGATGTCATCATGAGGATTAAATGAAGTAATAAACACAAAACCCTTAGTAAAATGCATGACACTTCGTAAGCATGCACCAAATATACACACTATATAAAAACCTAAATGAAGGGGACATAACATGCCGCAAAAGTGGTACAATGGGAGGCTTCTTCTGCAGGAGGTGACCCAGGGTCTGGATCTGGAGTGTGGGTCAAGTGGCTAGATGAGTGAATACAATTGCTGTCTGAGCTGAAGCCCAGAGGTGGGAGGCAGGATGTGGATGGGGCTTGCAGGTACAAATGCTTTGTATGCATTCGCTCTGATGCTTGCAAGGTTTCATGCTCTTTCAGTTCTTACCACGCCCCTCTAGGAGCAGAGTTAAATGCTAACTTTCAGGTCAGGAAACAGAGTCTCCAGGAGGTTTTTAAAAATTGAGCACCCTGTCAGTAAGTGGTAGAGTCAAAATTCAAACTTAGGACTGTGGAATTCTAAAGAATATGCTCCTCAAGTCATATCACGTGACCTCTACAGGTTCAGAAAGCCTGAAGAATAGTAGGAAAATTGGTGGAAAGGAGACTTGGAGGAGATCACTTGGAACCATAGTGGAGCCAGATCAGGTGAACCTTGTACGACCTACATAATTAAAGTTAAAGATTATTAAACTGGCAGAAACCTGTGGGACGGTTTGGTGTAGGAAAGTCCTAGAGACAAGGAATCAGACTGGCAAGCTACTGCAATAATTCAGGCAAGAGAGTGAGGGCTGACTTTCAGGACAGAGGCACTAAAAATGAAAAGGAAGGAGTGAAAACAAAATAGGTCATAGAGAAAAAGAATAAGACATGAAAACTGAATTCATGAAAATTGCAAGGGGACAGATGTCCATGATGACCAAGATTTTGAGCCTGGTGCCTTGAAGTATGATGACACCATCAAGAGCATTAAGGAAGACTTGGTGGCAAAGGGTATCTATCAAAACTTAATCTTGATGCTACTGCTGCTGACACACAGTGAAGACTCTTTCAGAGAAGGAGTGAGGCCCACTAGCTTGAGTCCCAGGCAGAAGCCCCAGGCTGGGTTCTAATGTCAGTAGATCAAAGTTTGGCTGTAATTTTAAGCAATTCATTTAACTTTCTTGTGGGTGTGATTGGATGTCTCCATTCTGCAATTTGCGAGCATTATTTTAAATAACTGATATTAAATTTACATTCTGAGCACCTTATCCAGGAATCAGGTCAGGGAGGAAAACCTGATCCTGAAGGAATTTAAATTTTTTGGGAAGACTTTAGCTGCTGGCTCCAGAAAACTCAGTGCAAAATAAGTGTCATAAACTAGAATCTCACATAATGAGCCATTCAGGGGTAGGTGGGGCTGGAAGCCTGGCCCATTAGGACTGGCTCTGCTTCTCTGCATTCTCTTGGCTCCATCGTACGGGCTTCCAGGAACTACATCCTCACTGGACAATGTCCAGTGCAAGAAGCCCTGATTCTACCAGGGATTTCTCTCTCTACCACTACAGAAACTTTTATCAGAAGCTCCACCCCCAACTTCTTCTCAAGGCTCATGGGGGGGGGTGTCACATGTTCATTTTTGAGCCAATCCATAGCAAGGCAAACCCCCACCCTTTGCTTTGAATAGAGATACTCACTGAGCTGAGAGAACCTGGGAGCACTTCAGAACATGGGCTCTGCTGTGGAGAAAAGAGGAGAAAGTGTGGGGAATCTCAGATACCTCCAGCAGTTTTTCTAGTCACATTTGATACTTATTATGGTTGCTTTTCTGCATTAAAACTCAGTCCTGCTCAAAAATTCACAGCCTTGGTCCAGCGAGGTGACTCATGCCTATAATCTCAGCACTTTGGGAGGCTAAGGAGGGAGGATTGCTTGAGACCAGGCATTCAGGACCAGCCTGGGAAACATGGGGAGACAGCCCCCCTAAAAAAATTAAATTAGTCTGGGTGGTGGTGGTGCATACCTCTAGTCGTAGCTACTCAGGAGACTAAGGCGGGAGGATCACTTGAGCCCAGGAGTTCGAGGCTGCAGTGGCTATGATCATATATGATCGTATTACTGCACTCCAGCCTGGGTGACAGAGCCAGACCCTGTCTGGAAAAGACAAAAAAAAGAAGGAGGAAGAGGAGGGAGGGGGACGGAGAGAGGGAGGGGGAGAAAGAGAAGGAGAAGAAGGGAGAGGGACAAGGAACGGGGAGGGGAAGAGAGGACAGGAAGAAAGGAAGGAAGGAAGGAGAGAAGAGAGACAGAGAGACAGAAATATTTCCGAGCGTCGTCCAGAACGGGACAGACTTCTGTGCATGGGTCAACTGTGATGAAAGTGGAGACAGGACATGGTCCCCTCCCTTCTGCCTCCTGGTGTCTTGGGCCTTCCACCGGCCCTGCTGCCCAAGCGAATGACCACAAGGGGGAGGTGGCTGGTTTGCGGTTCCCTGTCCCACTGGCTGGCTGTGGACATCTCAGTGCTGCTCACCAAATGCTAGCTCTCTCAAGGGACACTATAGTTTTTCCAATGCTCCTTGATGGGGAGGAGCACCGGACAGCCACTCATCCCAGCTGTGGCAACTTTCAGAAAAGAAACCAGACTTGTGTAAGAAGAGAGTAACATACATCCTCCCCACAGAGCAAGAGAAAAGGGGCATTTAGACTCTCCTGGACTGTTTCCCCAAAAGAATAATCCCTTCTCCCTTCCAGTCCTGTCTTGTACCTTTCTTGGGGCAAATCAAAGCCACACTCTGATGGGGACTGGGAGGATCTGGCTGCAGGAAGGGTTAAGGAAACTGAAGAATGAGCTTGACTCTCCATTCTGCCCCTTCCATGTCAGTCAGTGACCCTCCTGAAGAGTTCTCAGTGGAAATTTCCCATCCATGGTACCATTTGCCAGGTCTTCTGTGTCCCTGTTGAATTCACCTCTTGAGACCAAGAGTGAAAATTAAACAACGCACATAGCAAGGTAAGCATCCTTCCCTCTTTTCCTAATAATTAACTGTCTTAATTTTTTGGCTCCTTTCCCGTGCAGCTGTTGCAGGACACACCAGTAGCCTCCCCGAGGAGCATGAAGCTGTGGCAAGATGCACAGTCTTGCCCACCATCCCCCAGGGCCCAGGACAGTCAAGGAGCCCTCCGGTTTGGGGACGGTCCCACCAGCCACTTGCTATTCAAGCTTCCCCAGGAGATGCTGAAACCCAGGTATTATTGACTTTTCCTGACTGCGAATCTACCCCAGGGAAGTCTAGCTGGCAATGACACCATGCTCCTGTCACAAATGGAGGTGGCACTACCATTTTTATAAAAAGCGGTGCTAGACTGCACAGGACAGGGGACATGACTGCCTGCCATGTCTCCCCCATGCCCTCCCCCCACATAGCTGAATGCAGACATGATGGGGAACGGCTCAGAGGCTGAGACCATCAGCTCACCTCTGGTTTAGAATTGATGGTCTTCTAAAAATAAGGTGGACAGTTTTTTTCCCAAAGCTGCTATTTATTTCTATGATAAATCACTTTTCTTCTCTTGCATTCTGTAGTGAAAGAAGCATCATGCTTTTAGATAGACTTGGTGCCAGAGAGATCATTTTTAGAGACTATACTTGGCCTCCTTGTGCTAACAAGTTGCATCTCTTTTGGGGAGGCAGGAATGAGCAGGAATATTATGTCAGAAGAAAGTAGAAAAACCAAGGTGTGTCATTTTCAGGTGACTTGTAGAAGACATAAATAGAAAGGTGCCAGCCCTTCCTTCATGACTGTTCCGAGGCATAATTGTGGAGTCAAAAATACCTGACTTTAACATTTGGCTTTCGGTCACTGCTTGATCACGTACTGGCTGCGTGACACCAGGCCACATGCCAGGTCAGCTCTCCTGAGATGCAGATGCCAAGATGGGATTAGATAGTCAAGAGGTTTATTGAAGGAAAACCTATGAAAGATGGCGGGGAGTAGGAGGAGTCAGCAGGGAGAGTCTGAGGAGGGAGTGGACAGGGAGGAGGGCCCAGTAGGAAGGACCTCAGACTGCAGGGCTCTTCTGAGGCCCAGACATGTGGGGCGCCCTCAAGCAAGAGATTCCCACTGAGAAGAGTCCAGTGTTGGGCATAAATGACCAGGCTGCAGTACCCCTGAGCACCACTACAGACCCTCGGGTGTGACAGCTGGGGGCTGCCAGCCTACGGTGCCCCCACAGCAATCTCTCTTGAAGGGAGCATGTCTTCCTGGCTACCACAAGCTACTTAACTTTTCTAGCTTAAGCTTTCCTTCTATGCCCGTCTCACTTGTTTTAGCAAATTATTACTTCTCTCTGGACCTCAATTTTCTTTTTTTTTTTTGAGTTGGAGTCTCACTCGGTCGCCCAGACTGGAGTGCAGTGG